TTATTTAAGAGCAACATACAACTACTTATAAATATAGTCTTTTAAAAAGCATACTTATATAAAAACTGTGGCGGGGCGGGGGGGTGTAGGGGGGGCGGGAACCCTGCTATACATATGAAGCACATTTTGAGCCCAACACAACTGACCAATCAAAATTAGTGAACGCACTGCATCTCTCTGCAGTGGAGAGAAGCGACAAGGTAGGCTGTCATTCTGCAAAAGCTGCCCGGAACAGGCTTCCCTCTGAAAAGCAGTGCCGTTCCTTTTTAGAAAGGCTAATCTAAATGTTGTCTCTGGAGACAAGAAGCCTTCAGCATGTTAAATGACTTTCATTATGCATTTTGAGATGCTTATTGATTGCACAGTGGGAAGAGTGAGAGACTGCAGCAGCCCTCAGCAGCACTATATGCTCCATACATTAGCAGTAGTGCTGAAACAATGGCACAGTAAAGACACATTTCCATTAAGGTCTCTTCCAAGAGATGTTTATGACCCTCTTCCCCAGGTCCTCTACTAACAAGTGAACAGCATGAATCAATCAAAACTGGAAACGCTTCAACTACATCAAGAATGTATCAAATCTTTAGCGGAGGTAAGATGTGCTCCTTCTTACAGTATGCAGATGCTTTTGAACCAGCATAGTGGGGTAAATTTACTTAGAAAAATTTCAGCCTGAATTTTAACAGTTTATGTGCTTAATTCCACTTATTGCTAAACGTGTATTTTTTAAGATCTATTTCTGTTAAGACATGATATCATTTAAATGTAATTTTTTAGGATGTTATGTTAAATACAAAAAATATTCTTTGTTGATTCACTATGAAGACAGCTTTTAAGCCACTTCAGATATACTAAGTATTCTTAATGTCATTAGTACAGTTTTTCTCAAGTGTTCAAAAAAATGCTTATATTTCTTAAAAGAACCAGGTTTACTGTTTAACTATGATTTATTACTCAATTTTCAGTTAAGTTCATCATTGGGCATGATCACTGAAAATTATTTAATTTGCACTTACATTTTGCATTATCTTTTATATTTCAATTACATGAACAATTCACCAATGGAAATTTATAATATCTTATCATGAAATCTATTTTAATCAGTTAAAATTCAAACCATGTGCTAGTAATATAACAAGCAACAGTATTTTACAGCAGGAAATATTGTTAAATCTATTATAAAGACATGAGAGAATGACAGTTTAATATATGCTAATTGCTCATAATCTCTGAAAATACAGATTAGTTTCTAAAATGAGAGCAGAAATCAGTTAGTTTGGAAAATGTACCTTTTCTTTCATGGTTATATTTGTAATGTTAACTTTTACAATCCTCACTAACAAAAGAGAATATTTTATTTCAAGAAACCCTTAAATGTATGTATGATTGTGGTTCTAATAATACAGCTTGCTTACTTTAATAACAAATACTATGTATGATATTAAAATAAAAGTAACTTTCAATTAATTGTAAATTATTAGGAACCCTATTTCTTAACCATTTTTTTCTTTTTCACAAGGGCCCACAGCAGTTAATTCAGTACTTACAACCAACAATATGAAGAATGCAACCGATCGAGTATTTCCCTAGCTGTCTGAACCATAAACTGCAGGATATTCTTGTAATATGATTTTAAGACACTAAGGAGTTAAAACCAGAGAATATAGGTCTGCATTACTGCTGGGATATAACACGTTGACAGTAATCATCCTAAGAAGATGCTGTATAAAATAGCCACAAAAGGAAAAACAATATAATTGTAAAATCCTGAAGACAAAATGGTGAGCATTTTTAAAGAGGGAGTTTATACTTTAATATACCAGAACTGTGGAGCTACTGATTCTTAAAGAAACAATGAAACATGGATTGCCAAAATGAGAATGCCATACAATACCAGCAAGCTAAATGAAGCTTTAGCAAGTATATTCAGATATTCAGATATTCGTGTCAATTGATTATTACTAAAGGATTTTTCCATCGGAGTTTTATGACCAATTATGTATCCTCTTCTAATGAAAACAAACCAAATTAAGTAGCAGATGGTTTTTATCAAAAGAACATGGACTGGATTTATAATATAAAGCAAATTATGTGATCCAAGAAATCATTTCAAAATAATCAGAACTGCTATAGAAACAGTTTGCAACAAAAGAATGTCTAAATATATTTTACGAGCTAGAAACCTTATGTTTCCTGTTTTGTTTTCACCTGTTCTGGAAAATAAAGAGACACTATCATATATTCCCGCAAAGGGAAACATAGTTCCTATCATTTGAGGAAGTTTCTCTTGGTCATGGCTTTTTAAGGCAAAACAAACACAAATATTTTGTACTGGTCTTTAGAAATCCATCAGCCAACTAAATCTCACAATTCATGCAGTTGAAATATTGGAGAGAAAATGAAAGAATTCCTACAAGACATGAAATAAAACACAGCTACTTCACTGTTGTCAGGTGAAAATTCATGTCAAAATCTGTCAATGACATCATGTTTCAATTTGTGGAAAACGGCTATAGTGAGCCAAAAGGCACATAAGGCACAAGCAAACAGGTAGGTCAAGAGATGCATGCACCCCACCACACTGGTTAACATTTACGAAAGAAAAGAACCTGGCTCTAAGAGAGATGCATTTTTCTTAATTATTATCTAACTTGACATTTCTGCTTTATTTACTTGTAAATCTAACTGATGTAACAAAGACCTGATGTTTAATCTGGCAGTTCAAAAAATTTGGCACACTTAAATTTTTCCATTTTTATAGGATTTCAGTGTTAGCTAAGACCTTCACTTACTTGATTCAATATGTGCCTCTAGTAATACTTTATACCACGCCCAAAAGAAATTAATATTGCTATTATTTGTGCTTCTGAAATATTACCCCTAATATGCGTAAATAAAATTGTATTCTAAAACTTGTAAAAGGTTACATCAAGTGAAAGATTAACATGAGTTCTAAAACTTATTAGCTTTTATAATTTATGTTTAACTATGATTTAGCAATCAAAAAAACTGTACTTGAAATGTGAAATATAGTTGGTTGTATGATTTTATATTTTAACTGACTATACTGCTGATTACTGACATTTTAGCCCAGAAAATCAGACATTATTTTTATAAATTACTCTAAATCTCTATAAATTATAGATTTGTGTGAATTAGCAAGGTTTTTTTCTTTGTTTTTTTAAGTTTCCTCAAAATTACATAAACTGAATGATTTATACAAAAGGTTTCAGAGGAAATGTGTAACTGTAAAAGATTCCTCAGAAAATGGGCTTCAGATGCTCTTTTTCCCTAAAATTTCATTTATTTACTTTAAAAATTCTGCTTAAACAAATAAAATCAACAAATGTATTCTTTTAAACCACTTCAAAATGGCTATTTCTTAATATGATACTAAATTTCAATTTTCTCCTTCCACAAGATACAAGAGGGTGTGGTCACAAAATAAATCATTCATAGGAGTAATTATTCTTCTTTTACCCAACTTTGTGGTGCTTTACTTTAACATAATGTCCTTTTTCTTCCAATTTTCATAACATAACTTTGCCCATTATAAAGCTCTGTGAGGATTTTAATGGTGAAATATGAAATATTTATCCTTTGCCTACTTCTGTGGGGAAAAAACTCCAAATATCCCTAATTACACTGTTGACTTGTGAATATGAATTTCAATCAAGAACATGAACAAAATGGTTTAAAGCCAACTAGTACTCGTGCCATTTATCATTTTAAATGAACACTTGTCCTGTTCCTTTGAAATCTCAAAGGAATAATTACACCTACACTAATTATGCTAGAACATACTAAAACAGCGTTTATTTCCCACCTACTTACAATATTTTAAAATGAAATCTTAAAACACTCGGCTAAAATTAGTTGTTCATACTGGGTAGTTTTATTATACAAAAATATACTGTATCTCAAATAAGAAGCTTGAAAAACCCAAATAAGGAAAAACTTTTTAGTATATGAAATAATTCTGAACTGTATAGAATTATCCCCATACAGTATTCAAAGGGAGAACTTTCCTTTCACATAAAAAGAATACAACTTTGATGTTTCCTAATTCTACGCTTTCCATTAATAGTTTACCAACTTAAAAATTAAACTAAGAACACAAAAGTTTTGGTTTTGTTTTTTTTTTGCAAAGACACATGTTTATATGTCATTTAAATTGTCAAATATCAAATAGTTTATTCTATTTCACTTTCTAGGGAAAAAACCAACTGCTCCAAAAGAATGTGTTTTTCTCCCTTTCTGGAAATCAACATGCAGTCTGAATCTAACATTACAGTTCGAGATGACATTGATGACACCAACACCAATATGCACCAACCACTGTCATATCCATTAAGCTTTCAAGTGTCTCTCACTGGATTTCTTATGTTAGAAATTGTGTTGGGACTTGGCAGCAACCTCACCGTACTGGTACTTTACTGCATGAAATCCAACTTAATCAACTCTGTCAGTAACATTATTACAATGAATCTTCATGTACTTGATGTAATCATTTGTGTGGGCTGTATTCCTCTAACTATAGTTATCCTTCTGCTCTCACTGGAAAGTAACACTGCTCTCATCTGCTGTTTCCATGAGGCCTGTGTATCTTTTGCAAGTGTCTCAACAGCAATCAACGTTTTTGCTATCACTTTGGACAGATATGACATCTCTGTAAAGCCTGCAAACAGAATTCTGACGATGGGCAGAGCTGTAATGCTAATGATATCCATCTGGATTTTTTCCTTTTTTTCTTTCCTGATTCCCTTTATTGAGGTAAATTTCTTCACTCTTCAGAGTGGAAATACATGGGAAAACAAGACACTATTGTGTGTCAGTACAAATGAATACTACACGGAACTGGGAATGTATTACCACCTGCTAGTACAGATTCCAATATTCTTTTCCACTGTCATAGTGATGTTAATCACATACACCAAAATACTGCAGGCTCTTAACATTCGCATAGGCACCAGATTTTCAACAGGGCAGAAGAAGAAAACAAGAAAGAAAAAGACAATTTCTCTAACCACGCAACATGAGACTACAGACATGTCACAGAGCAGTGGTGGGAGAAATGTAGTCTTTGGTGTAAGAACTTCAGTGTCCGTAATAATTGCCCTCCGGCGAGCTGTGAAACGACACCGTGAACGACGAGAAAGGCAGAAAAGGGTTTTCAGAATGTCTTTACTCATTATTTCTACCTTTCTTCTCTGCTGGACACCAATTTCTGTTTTAAATACCACCATTTTATGTTTAGGCCCAAGTGACCTTTTAGTAAAATTAAGGTTGTGTTTTTTAGTCATGGCTTACGGAACAACTATATTTCACCCTCTCTTATATGCATTCACTAGACAAAAATTTCAAAAGGTCTTGAAAAGTAAAATGAAAAAGCGAGTTGTTTCCATAGTGGAAGCGGATCCTATGCCTAATAATGCTGTAATCCACAACTCTTGGATAGACCCTAAAAGAAACAAAAAAATTACCTTTGAAGATAGTGAAATAAGAGAAAAATGTTTAGTACCTCAGGTTGTTACAGACTAGGAAAAAGGCTAAGTTTCACCAAACCCATATTGAGACGTTTTAATTTTAAATTGTAAAAATTGAAATTACTGCCAAATATAAGAAAAAATGGTAGGTATTGGTTATGTTGTAAATTTTCAATGTAAATGTCAAGATTAGATTGTCATATATATTCAATTTCTTCATAACAATGTATTTGCTGCATGGCAGTTTGTTAAAGTAATATCATGTGTATATTTTGTCAATATTATGTCCTCCAGAAGATATTAATGTAAGTCATATTTTCTAAAGAATAAATACATAGCCTTAAAACAATGTAAAACTTTAAAATGTAACTGACATAGGTATCCTTGGGTTTTGTTTTGTTTTTTTATAAACTGTATTGTTTCTAAGCCACAAACTGTAGATATATTTGTATAATGACAACTGGAATAGCATTTTAACATAAGAACCAAAATTATGGACTCCAAACAATGAAAATAATCCAGGATTTTCTGTACCACTATATTATGTTTTCTGGTACAGTCAACTTGCTATAATATTTGATGCATCAAAAATAATGAACTCTGTATAAAACTTGATCCTTTTTTAATATAGAAATTGTAGGATTTATCAGGATTTTAAAACTCAAGAATCAAAAAGAAGTAACCTGTATATGCATACCAAGAGAGGGAAACTTTGAAATTAAACTTTACGAAAAGCAGATTGATTTTTCTAAATTCAAGGGCACTATGCCTATAATATACAAATGAACTGACCATAAAGAGGAGGAAGAAAAACTAAAGCACCAGCTTCTTTCTTCCTTTCTCAGTCTGTTTGAGTCTAAGTCAAATGCTCTGAATTAATACAGTACATGCTGGTAAAACAGTGCTTTAAAATAAACTGACTTCCTAACTTTATTCAAGTTGGCCTTTTTGTATAATAGAAGTTAACTATTAAAATCTGAATACAAGGGAGAAACAAACTATATCATTGTAGAAAAGCTTAATAATGCCAGCTATTTCTAATTTTAGATACATAGCAACTTTAGAGTAATACAATTTACACAATGTTTTTACTCTATCATAGCTCCCAAATGTTTCAAAATACAGTAGCTCTATTTCCACTCTGAAAATCATTAAAGTGGTAATAAATCTTGTTATTTATTTATTTTTTACTCCACACTACTTAATTTAACTTTAAGCATTTTGTCTCCAATCCTCAATTCACTTCAGGAAACTGTGAAATTACTAATTCTAACTAGGTAGCAGCTTTGGGAATTCAAATCAAACAAATATTTTCCAACTGTTATAATGTAATAATCTATCAATGAGCGCTAAGTATCACTGTATCAGAAAAACAGCAATAAATTACTTAAAATAGGTAAATACTTGCTACCTTATGATTGTTTAACTGGCCAATTTTTCCATTTTTTAAACACTGCATTCACTGAATCAAGTAGCAATTGATTTTTAAATAAAATTGTATGTCAAGCAATTCAATAATCTATCTCCTTTATGTAAATAAGTGAGATTCATCCAGGGGAGTTTCCTGAATATCCTGATCCTTGCGGAAATGAGCACCGTGCTATACCGCCTGAGCTCCCCAAGGTTACAAAGAAAAGTTAACAGGGATTTACTTATGATAATAATGCTAACGAAGTATCAATCTTGGCAAAGCCAAAATTTCCTTCTGCCTTATTTTCTACTCTTTTATGGAATTAAAGAAATGCTTCAATTTGACAAAATGTAGCCTATGCAAGTAAGACTTATTTTTTGAAACCCTTAAGAGAAATTAAGACTTCATAGACAAAGATATTAAGAAAATTTTCATTAGATAAATATAGTTGGCAGAGAATATCTGTTAATATGTTAATTAAAATTTTTTTTAAAACTAATTTTATACTTGGGACTTCCGAGCATAAATTAAAATTTTAATATTTAGTTTTATAATCTTAAAAAAAATTAGACTATTTTTAGAGTTTTCATATTAAGAGAAAACCCTTCCTGTTATAAATATTTTTAACCTTCAAGTCTATATGCATGCCAAAGAACTCAGTTAAAAGACATTTTTCTAATATATTTGCCTAAACTGCTTTCATGCTATCTTGTTCTCTGTAATAAATCTAACAAAATAAGAAATAAATGGCAAATATTATAATGTTGCCCTCTAAACTGTTATCATTTCTACACTTGACAATGGATCAGACAATTAAGCACTTTTACCCACCTATAATGATCTTTCAGGTATACAAAAGTATACCCGCTAATTTACAATAAAGAAAAATCATACCAGACAACTTCTAATAGCTTCTTAATGTTAAATAGTATATAATATGTAAACCAAAATATAAGTTGTTTTTTGAAAAGTCACACGTTTGCAATTACTGACTTCAGATTAAATGAGAGGATGAGAAAGAGAACATTTTTATTAAATGTTTGTTCTATGAAAAGGTGAAATATTTTTTCTCAAGATGACCTTCACTACCCCGTATAAATTTTTCACTTTACTTCAAATAATTTTACCAAAAAAAGTATGAATGGTAATTTTTCATGTTAGAATAAAATTTTAAAATGCAAAAGCAATAGAGGTACCAGTAAACTCAATATTGGATCCTTTTTAAAATCATATTTTTCTATGTTACAAATCACAGACATAGATATCAATTTCTATTAGTTAACTGGGTTAGTTCTTCAAAACTATAGCAATAAGATTATTTTTTTTAAATAACCAAAGATACGCTCAACAAAATATGATACCGTTATTTTCTCTTTTGTTTTGTCTGCTAATTTAAAGAGGTTATTATTCTGCCAACTAGTACCCAACAGATGTTCAATCCTATTATGAAAACTGAATTATTTACAATTAAGGCTTTTCTTTTAAAAAAAATGGCATTCATAATAATTCTGTACTTTTCACTCATGGTAAGTCAATTTTTAGATATGTGGCCAATTTTTTTATCCTCCAAATAAATGTATAGCAAAATCTCAGTTCTCTGGGCACTAAAAATGAAACTCCTCATTTAACTGCGATTAGATTTAAAGGTAAAAACCTAAAAGTATAAGAAAACAGGTGCACAGTAGAGTTTTATTCAACATAGTAATTTCAAGACTACTTTCCAAAGTCAATAAAACTTCTGGTTTTACTACATGTTATGGTTGTACATTTAGGTAAGCTTTGTAATTCAATGAACACTTCAATTCTTACAATGTAGAAGGCATTAGGCAGATACTCACATTTACATGGAATAGAGCCATCAACCATCAGGGCTTAAAATCTATATTCAAGGTATTAAAAAGCATAGTAATGCCTATATAAAAAGGCAGAATGTGGTAAATGCTATAAAAAAGAGTAAAGTTCTTACTAGACTTAAGAAAAAATTATGTTGGATTTAAAAACAATAGCATTTTTGAGGGTAGTTACGGAAGCATACTCTGGGAAAGGAACACAGTAGTGAGAAGTTGATCTGGTAAATTAAACTGGGGCCAAAAGACAGAGGGCCTTAAAAGCCAGCAGAGAAACCTGAGCAGGGGAATAGTACAATGAGAAATGAGCTACAGAAAGAAACAATAATTTAAAAAACAGCAATATGTAGAAATTGTTGATTGGGTAAGACAGGAGCTGTGAAGCTGTGGCCTTCACCTGGGTAGGTGAAGAAAGGCCCAGCAGCAGAAGCGTCACAAAGGAGCACAGAGATGTGACAGGCAATGAGAAGGCCGAACTGGGAGTGCAGACCAACTGACTGGAAAGACACCTGGTATAAGAGATTGGAGAATTAAAACTGAGGGCCGCAAAAAGGACCTGAACAAACTAGATTATCCTCAGTGATCCATGAACTTTTTTTTAAGCTGAGCCATCCTGCCACCTGTTGGCAGCTCAGCGGCAGCTCATCTCAGGCCGGGAATCGAACTACTAGTTGCTCAGAGCTCGCACTTTTGAGCGAGCTCTTAACCAACTGAGCCACTCAGCCAGCCCCTGAACTTTTTAATTATGCTTCATACAAAGGTACATGGATAACAAGGGTAAAAACAAAAACTATTTCAGGCACAGCAAGAAATTCAATTAAGTAAAATCAATAACATTATACAAGAACATTCTAGTTATTAGAAACTATTCAAAATGAAAATTTCAAATTGATGTTTTAAACTAGTTTATATTTTGCATAGTGGTTTATTCAGTCTTTCCGTTAAACACGTATTTTCTCCGTCTGTGATATTTTTAATTATAAAAAATTATAAACGCAATGGGAAAATGTCAAGGTATAGAAAGTAAAAAATATAAATATCACCCTTTGCTTTTTTCCTAATCATTTATTATAAATATCCACCCAACTCATTACATACATATCTCCTTCATTCTTTAAGAGCTACATAAAAATAACTGTATAAAATTTAAAAACATGTAGCAATATGTCTAAAAATAATATTGACAAAATACCAAATACTTAAAACTTTTTCTATTATAATTAAATAGCTTCAAGCTACATTTCTAGATGATTTTATCAGAGGTAAGTAAGGTAACTTGGCAAACTGTGAAGCAAGTTATTTTTCTAACTGGTGGGAAGAAGCCAGGGAAAAACCTGAAAACAAGGCATTTCCTTTCTTCCTGTCCACTAAGTAAGATGAGAAATAAAAAACTAAAGGAAACTTTTAGAGTCTATTTTCTTTACATCTCAGGCATGGTCACCTGTAGGTACTCCTGAATGAAGCACCCTAGAAAATGCAGTGAACTCTAAGAAAGCTAAACATGAGATGAGTAATAATAAATGTTAGGGAAAAAAGGAACCCAGGTCACATTGTAAAAGAGAAAATATAAGGAGATAATTAAACCTAGAAGGCAAGAAAAAGATCTAACATACTCAGAGATGCTCAGCTCTTAGAGAAACACATAAAACAAAACAAAACAAAACAAACGTAATTGTGGGTTAGATTTCACAGAAGAAAACTAATTTGAAGACTGACTTTTTTCTAAAATGCATTTAAAACAATGAAAGAAAATGTTTTTAAAAAGAAACCCTAATTGGCAGACTGGACAGATTAGTAATATAATAACATATTGCACCATAAGAAGTAGAATATCAGAATATTACAATTCACAAACATTTGGAAGAGTGGTATTGAGATGTAAAAACAAATGGAAAATTGGGCTCATCATTAATTCGAAAGCTATCACCTTTTAAAGAATATCCATTTTGTAAGAGAAAAAGAGCTGAGCAAACGCAATATTTCTCCTCTTGCTCATGATAAATAACGTTTAAAATAACCTTAAATATCTCTACCCTTCTGTTCACATATTTTTTACAGACCTCTACTCTATAAGCCATATCCATGGCTTTCAAGCATGACAGTTTTGTATTTCCACCATCAAGTGGTAAAAAGTGCCGTCATTTCTGTCACTGCCACCAAGATGAACTCCATACCACTATCGATCCCTGAGGCATCAAGCAAGATAAAGAAGGAGAGCAGAGTCTGTCTAGGATTGAAGTCATTTTCCTCACCCCGCTTCCATGAAAGTGACACATCACGTATTTCTAAGAAGCATTAAATAAGGCAGACTACCAAAACACATCAGAAATTTTCAGGATGAAAAGAAAAAGGAGCAAGAGAAGGTTATGGGGAACTGCTTTCTGCTCAGTTATGGACATACAATACTACTAACAGATGCAAAATGAAAAAAATTTTAATTCAATTTAAAATTTTTTTAATGTTAATGCTAACTAACAAATGAGAGTTTTAGCCATATTCGATGTAGACTGTAGGATTGAGAAATATATATGTAATACTGCGCATGTATATATGTTGTGCAGCCATTAATATTATACACAATCCCAGATGTTGTATACTGTATATTGGGTGGTATATTGTATATTGATTAAGTAGAGAAGAACCAAAGATATGTATTTCACTCTAATATTGTTAATGCCTAAGAACAAGTTGAAATGAAAAAAATTCAAATTTACATAGTCTACTTTTTAACAGTTTTCTTCCCAATTCTTAAAAAACTGTAGTCTTTCTTTTGCTGTTGAATTTTTTCCAACTACCACTTCTTACAAGCAACAAAATGTGGCAAACTTAGCTGTCTAACTTTATAAAACTATCTTTAATCCACACAATATAAGTCTGTAATACTAATGTAATCTTTGATAATGCTTCCCCCAAAAGTCTGTCATACATACTAACTGATCAGTAAATATTAGTGAAATTGAAATGAACAATCTGCCATATTCTCTTTCAACAAATTCTGGAAAAAATAATTGGCAGAAAAATGGTTAAGTGCAAAACCATAAGCTTGAATAGCCACCTAAGCTGAGGGAAAAACTAACATCAGCAAAATGACACTCTACTCTTGCAGAGGTGGCTGCTGGCAAATTTTAAAATGACAAGTTAAAGTAATGAATTTTCATCAACTAATTTTAAGATAATCTACTTTGCCTGAAATTTCTGATCTTCATGAAAACATCTTACTACCAATAATTCAAGGGTACATTTAGAACAGAAACAATAAGAGCTAAAAGAAGAGAATTGTGCTTTCAACTACATGATAAAAGATACTATATCAATATTTTATTACTGTTGTTAAATACAAGAAATAAGATTATGAGAAGCTTTTATTTTTAAATATAGTATTGTTCTATCAGTACTATTTGTATTAAAAAATATGTTTACTGGTTCTACAACACAACCAACTTTTCAAACTACATCAATGTTTCTAAAAACTTAATGAATAACATATGTTACAGGATGTAGTAGGCAGATACACGAAACGCCCAAACGAAACTGTCAAGTAGCAATAACCATAAAATCCTAGTTACTATCATAAACAAGTCTGTTATCTTGTAAGCATTTCTTTTTAATCATAAAGCACTTTTAAATGGCCTCTTATAATAGCACTTAGCCCTCACTTGCCCAAATTTGAGCATTTCATAAAAGCTTTGGGTGGTGTGCACTTACAAAAGCAGTGGCAGTAAGACAGGTCAACATCAGTATCACAAGGCCAAACATAACGACAACATGAGTACAAACCAAGAGCAATCGGGCTCGAAGGAGAAGGAGCACATGGGAAAAGCTGCAGGAAGGAAATGGCAATTGAAAGGAACTTTAACTGAGGGATGAGGCTGGCTGATGGCATCTAGGCAACAACATAACAAGGATATCAGGCAGACACAAGCATGAGCAATTACACAAAATCAAGAAAACAACGTCTCCAGACCAGGGAACAATTCAATTTCGCTGGTGCACAGACTGTGAATATGGAAGCAGGGAGAGAGAAAGCTGGCAAGTAGATTCTAACCTGTTTTGTCAGGCAAAAAACTTTTCATTGAAGCCCAAAGCCCAGTGAAAGTACTTCTAGATTGGACAGTATCTGAGGGCATCTAAAGCATACACTGGCACTTCATTCTATCATCACACTAGATGACAGTCTGAGCCTCTACCCTGGTCTCTCCGCCTCAGTCTCTCACAATGTCCACCTGCACTTCCTAAAGTGCAATTCTGCTCATGTTCACCCCGGTTACAGTAGATCTTCCATCACATACTTTTCATAGAGACTTAACATACAACATAATATTGAATAAAAAAGATTAAAATCCAAATATTAGTAAGATCTCAGTGTTTTCAAATGTAGAATCAGGGATAGCCCACAAGTTACACAAAGATACAGTGAAAAAAATGTATGTCCAATTCTATTTTCCCATTAAAAACTATAAAAAACAGAAACACTCGAAAAATCTAGCTGTAAATATAACCCCAAGATTAAAAAAAAGGAAAATCAGGGGTGGCTGGTCAGCTTAGTTGGTTAGAGCATGGTGCTAATAACACCAAGGTTGCCGGTTCTATCACCGCATGGACCACTGTAGACTGTGCCCTCCTTAAAAAAAAAAAAAAAAAGGTGTACAGGTTGGAAAAGAAGAAACAAAAAGTATCTTTTAAAAAAGGGGGGAAGGGCCGGCCGAGTGGCGCATTGGTTAAGAACTGGCTTGGGACGCCAGAGGGCCCCGGTTCGGATCCCACACATGAGGGCCAGTGACACTGCCCTCTACAGCTAAGATGCTGAACAACAGCTCAACCTGGAGCTGGGCTGCCCTGCGTCGCTGGCTACGGCGTAGGCTGCAGTGGGGCTGGCCAGCAGCGGGCATGAGCTTTCGTGAGCTGCTTTGAGCCACCGTGAGCCTCCGTCAGCAGCCGACCAATGGCTGGCGACTGATCTGCCTCACCAGGGAAGGGCACAATGATAATACCAACATGGGCCAGTGAAGCAACGTCCTCCACAACTAGACTGAAGAATAAAAGGACAGCAACTTGTCTGTTCCCCTCCCCCAATTCCCCAATAAAAGAATCTTATAAAAAAAGAGTTGGCACCCTGTTTTGAAAAATAAAGATCCTATCCAATTGTTCCTTCCTGGAACATATGAAGGAGATCTTCAGAAACATTTGCTCACAAATTCAGCACTTTCCTCAAGAAGCAATTCTGGATAAACTTGAGAAATAAATACTGAACCTCCAGAGACACAGAACATATAATTTAGATATGGAGGTTTTTCAAAGCAGTTAGTACCAATCCCTGTAACTAAGGTAGAAAACCCTCTATGTACCATCTCATTCTGACCATCATGCCTTTTTAATGTACCCACTAGAATGAATCAGCTGCAAGATACATCCCTAGATAACTAACTTGGCCATTTTGAGTTATATGGTATGAAATGGCTGGATTTTAGAGAATAGTTTGCCAGAAATGATTTCAGGATTTTTTTTTCCAAAGTGGAATTATTTTAGTTTTAATATAATTAATATGGAAATAATATATATCGTCACCAATGACCACTGAATATATTCCTAGTTGTGAAAATAAAATTTTATCATCAGTATTATCTTTCCATTTGGATATGGTAGAAAAACGCATTTGTAATTCACTGAAATGGACCGAGTCCCTGACACAGAAATTAAAATACATTAATATAACTGCATCCTGTCTGCCTACCTCCCCTGTTATTTACGTGGTATTCAATATAGCACTCTAACTCTGTATATACCTATAATCATAAATTTGCACTGAACCCTTTTAACTTAGCCTACAGCTAATTTCAATTTACCAAACCAAAAAACAATAAAAACTGATTCATATAGTTCTGGGCTTTTTTATACATAGAGCAATCAGTATGATGATGATGAAAAGTAGAACAGGCCATCTAATCTTTCCATAAAATATTAGACTTAGAGACCCAAAGCTGTAATTCACTAAGAAGTGGGCTGGTACCATTTTTAAGGAACAGTCAAGAAAATAATAAGTCTGCATTTCTGAAATGTTTATATTCATTTAAGATACATTTTAATTTTTAAAATTTAACATTGATGAGATATATATATATACCTCAACATATATATATCTCAACTTCATATATATATATATATATATATATATATATATATATATGTGTGTGTGTGTGTGTGTGTGTGTGAAAAAGAGGTTGAGAACTATTGGTTTTAGCATCCAAATGGAAAGGAAAACCCCTTAGAACCAAGAAATCTAGTTAAAAGAACCTTATCAGTGCTCTCAAACATTGATAAATGTTCCATCACGGATGACAAATAATAAGGTAAAATACAGAGCTTCCATAAGCATTAACTGACCCTATGGAATAAAACATATATAGAAATACTACTATAACTTTGAAATGTATGAGAAACAAAATACTAAAGCTTACAAAAATTAAGCTGCTTTTGTTTTTGTCTGGATGTTATCCTGGATTTTTTTGACACTGTGTGATGAAAGATAAAACCAATAAAATAGGATCATAAATGCTGTATGGGTATCATCTGTTAAAAATAAATTTTAGTAACATTAAATTCAATTAGGTTAAAAAAAAAAGCCTTTGTGTGGGTGTAATTTTAATATGCTTATCTCTGCAACAGGCAAACCCACACCTAAGCATAAGCCCATTATCCTGAACATTTGGGTTTGAGCACAGACAGCATCACCCCACCTGGTGGTAGTTGAATCCAGTCACATATGTAAGTGATTGAGACCATCTCTATCAAACAAACTTACTGAAAATACTTATCATATGTGATTACAACATAGGTTTAAAAATGCATATTGAATTCTCTATGTTGAAGTGGTCACGAAAAACCCACACATGTACTGTTAAATGCATTTAAGAAATCACCTTAGACCTAATTTAATACTGGAATGTGACATATTTAAAATTTTTCCCTATCAATAAAGAATTTTTAAAAGCTTTAACTAATAAAACTTCATTAAACTTTCACCAACTACATCATCTTGTAGACATCTCAAAATCATTCATTACTTCATTAAGTATCGGTCACCTATTATATGGCTAAATTACATAAATTGTACTTTCTCTCATCTGTGTACAAATCAGAAATGTTTGCGTATAAGTAACACATTTTATTAGACTGAGAAAATACCACAGTTACAATAAGAACATTAGTGGATGAAACAAACTTACACTATCCCTTCCTTCTACAATATTTCATAAAATGCTTCCATGATAAATTTTGTTTTAAGAAT